AGCAGTGGAGCAGCCGGGGCCGGTGCACGGTGCTGGCTGGGTGCTCCCGAGCTGGTTTCCCACTGGGAGAGGTGAGTGCTGCTGCAGGTCTGGAAGATGAGATGCTGACAGGGTGCTTGAGATACAGGGCTCCAGCTGCCATCCTGGAGGTCAGTCGGGAGTGGTGGGTATAGAGAGAAGAGGGGAAAATATCGTGATATAAAGGAGTAGGGAAATACACCAGCAATTTTGCAAAATGAAGCTGAGATTCTGAACACAGGCATATATTGCATGTGTACGTGTGTACCTAGACCTCTGTCTGTGCTGATCACACGAGCAAATGGGCTGTAAGACACAACTCCTGTTTGCTCGTGAGCTGGCAGGATGCTCCCTTGGCCATCAGCCAGGGTTTCTTGGTCTGACATCATTATCTTCAACATTTCAGGCAACTCCCTTTGGCCTCACAAGGAGTTAATGTCTTTACAGCCTGATGGGAGTATTTATTTCAATAGTTGGTGAGTCTCCTCCTGGTGCAGCAAACCTGAATCCACTTGGGTTTTCCATCGTTGTGTAAGGCGGGTGTTGGTCGTGGGTTCCCTCGCTTGATGTGGACTTCTGGCAGCCACTGGTTTGTTGCAGGGTGGTTTCCACCATCTCCCCCCATGCCCTTGTCTCAAACTGACATGATTTCACCTTGCTTCGACTCTGGGCTTTCAGGAGCCTGAGGGATTTCATCTGCTTGGAGAAAAAAAAAGTGGCTTCTAGGGGGGCTTGTGAGCTCTGGTCAGCGCTGGCTGCAGGACTAGCTGCTGGGTTTCGCTCCCTGTGGAGCAGATGTGCCGGCTGGTGCTGCTGTTCTGGCACGCTCGGCTGCCTGCTTTTTGCTCTGGAAACATAGTAAAGGGACTTGCTGAGAAGGGTGAGTCCTGGCCTCTCAGTTTCACAAACCCCAAACCAGCTGAAATAGCTGCTCACGTTGCAGACAGCAGAAACTTGCTTTGCTCCTCGGTGCTCTCCTCACAGGCAGCTTTTTTTTTGGAGTGAGTAACTTGATCCTTTTTACAGTGAGTGGGATAACAGGAGATAGGCTCCTCCTGTCTGCAAAGTTACCCGTAAAACTTCCAGACCAGTTTATTTGTCTTTCTGAGTTTAGTTTATAACATATTTTTTTGTCCCTTAATGTCGCAAGCGGCTTCCCGGTGCTGGTTGGCGAAGGGTGCAGCTGACCTTAA